CCCAGTGTTTGGGGGGGACCCCAGGAGATTGGGGGGATCCACAGGGAGACACAGGAGTTTGGAGGGACCCAGAGAGTTTGGGGGGATCCATAGGGGACCCCAGGGGATTTGGGGGGGACCTAGAAATTTGGGGGGGGGACCCCAGAATTTTGGGGGGTGACTCACTGAAGGCGATGAGGAACTTTCCGTAGCCGCGGCGCTGGTAGGGGGGCAGGGTCAGGATACAGGCCACGTTGTTGCCGTCGGGGGACTCCTTCTCCTGGACATGGGGGGTGTGTGACATGAGCAATGACATCACTGATGACGTCACCAGTGACGTCACTGGGAGGGTCCCCCCCCGTTTACCTTGGAGAAGTACCCCACGATGTGGGCGCCCTGGCGGTCCACCTCCGTCAGCAGGTAGAAGACGAAGGGCTCCACGTCGAAGTAGAGGGTCTTGTGGTCCAGGAAGAGCTTGGCCAAGAGGCAGAGGTTCTGGCAGTAGATCTGGGGGTGCGTGACGTCATCATGACATCATCATGGCGTCATCACGTGATATCATGTCATCTCCACGCGTGTCCGTCCCGTCCTCACCACCCACCTTGTGGTCTTTGCCGTCCACCTCGTAGACCGAGATGTTGCTCTTGCGGTAAATCCCCCGCCCCGGCGGCTGCCGCCACTGGCACTGGCCCTGGGGAGGGTCACGCGTGTCACACGCCTGGGTCAGACGTGGCCCCGCACACGCCACGTGCGTCTCACGCGTGTGTCACCCCACCACCTCATGGATCTGTTGGTGTGATGAGACCTCACCTCCTGGGGCTCAGAGACACCAGAGATGGGGCTCTGCCGCCACTGGCACTGGCCCTGGGGAAGGTCACGCGTGTCACACGCCTGGGTCAGACGTGGCCCCGCACACGCCACGTGTCTCACGTGTGTGTCACCACCCCATGAGCCCATAGGTGTGATGAGACCTCACCTCCTGGGGCTCAGAGACACCAGAGATGGGGCTCTGCATGTGTCCCTACGTGTCATACATGTCACACATGTTCCTAAACATGTCCCCAAACATGCTACATGCATGTCCCATGTGTCCCCAGACATGCCACATGCATGTCATGTGTGTGTCTCCACCCCAAGGACCTGCAGGTGTGATGAGACCTCACCTCTTGGGACTCAGAGACACCAGAGCTGGAGCTCTGTGTGTGTTCCTATGTGTCACATGCATCACACACATGCCACACATGTCCCCAAACATGCTACATGCGTGTCACACGTGTGTCCCCCACCTCACAGACTTGTACGTATGACAAGACCTCATCTCCTGGGGCTCAAAGACACCAGAGCTGGGGCTCTGTGTGTGTCCCCACGTGTCACATGCATCACACATGTGCCACACAGGTCCCTAAATGGCGTCATCACGTGATATCATGTCATCTCCACGCGTGTCCGTCCCGTCCTCACCACCCACCTTGTGGTCTTTGCCGTCCACCTCGTAGACCGAGATGTTGCTCTTGCGGTAAATCTCCCGCCCCGGCGGCTGCCGCCACTGGCACTGGCCCTGGGGAGGGTCACGCGTGTCACACGCCTGGGTCAGACGTGGCCCCGCACACGCCACGTGCGTCTCACGCGTGTGTCACCCCACCACCTCATGGATCTGTTGGTGTGATGAGACCTCACCTCCTGGGGCTCAGAGACTCCAGAGCTGGGGCTCTGCATGTGTCCCTACGTGTCACATGCATCACACATGTGTCACAGAGGTCCCTAAACATGCTACATGTATGTCACATGACTGTCCCCCACCTCATGGACCCACTGCCGCCACTGGCACTGGCCCTGGGGAGGGTCACGCGTGTCACACGCCTGGGTCAGACGTGGCCCCGCACACGCCACGTGCGTCTCACGCGTGTGTCACCCCACCACCTCATGGATCTGTTGGTGTGATGAGACCTCACCTCCTGGGGCTCAGAGACACCAGAGATGGGGCTCTGCATGTGTCCCTACGTGTCATACATGTCACACATGTTCCTAAACATGTCCCCAAACATGCTACATGCATGTCCCATGTGTCCCCAGACATGCCACATGCATGTCATGTGTGTGTCTCCACCCCAAGGACCTGCAGGTGTGATGAGACCTCACCTCTTGGGGCTCAGAGACACCAGAGCTGGAGCTCTGCACACCTCCTGGGGCTCAGAGACACCAGAGATGGGGCTCTGCATGTGTCCCTACGTGTCATACATGTCACACATGTTCCTAAACATGTCCCCAAACATGCTACATGCATGTCCCATGTGTCCCCAGACATGCCACATGCATGTCATGTGTGTGTCTCCACCCCAAGGACCTGCAGGTGTGATGAGACCTCACCTCTTGGGACTCAGAGACACCAGAGCTGGAGCTCTGTGTGTGTTCCTATGTGTCACATGCATCACACCCCACGATGTGGGCGCCCTGGCGGTCCACCTCCGTCAGCAGGTAGAAGACGAAGGGCTCCACGTCGAAGTAGAGGGTCTTGTGGTCCAGGAAGAGCTTGGCCAAGAGGCAGAGGTTCTGGCAGTAGATCTGGGGGTGCGTGACGTCATCATGACATCATCATGGCGTCATCACGTGATATCATGTCATCTCCACGCGTGTCCGTCCCGTCCTCACCACCCACCTTGTGGTCTTTGCCGTCCACCTCGTAGACCGAGATGTTGCTCTTGCGGTAAATCTCCCGCCCCGGCGGCTGCCGCCACTGGCACTGGCCCTGGGGAAGGTCACGCGTGTCACACGCCTGGGTCAGACGTGGCCCCGCACACGCCACGTGTCTCACGTGTGTGTCACCACCCCATGAGCCCATAGGTGTGATGAGACCTCACCTCCTGGGGCTCAGAGACTCCAGAGCTGGGGCTCTGCATGTGTCCCTACGTGTCACATGCATCACACATGTGTCACAGAGGTCCCTAAACATGCTACATGTATGTCACATGACTGTCCCCCACCTCATGGACCCATACATATGACGAGACCTCACCTCCTGGGGCTCAGAGACACCAGAGCTGGAGCTCTGTGTGTGTCCCCACGTGTCACATGCATCACACATGTGCCACACAGGTCCCTAAATATGCTACATGCATGTCCCATGTGTCCCCAGACATGCCACATGCATGTCATGTGTGTGTCCCCACCCCAAGGACCTGCAGGTGTGATGAGACCTCACCTCTTGGGACTCAGAGACCCCAGAGCTGGGGCTCTGTGTGTGTCCCTACATGTCCCATGTCACACACATGTCACACATGTTCCTAAATGTGTCCCCAAACATGCTACATGCATGTCATGTGTGTGTCCCCACCCCAAGGACCTGCAGGTGTGATGAGACCTCACCTCCTGGGGCTCAGAGACACCAGAGCCGGGGCTCTGCGTGTGTCCCTGTGTGTCACATGCATCACATACATGCCACACATGTCCCCAAACATGCTACATATGTGTCACACGTATGTCTCCCACCTCACAGACCCGTTTGTATGACGAGACCTCATCTCCTGGGGCTCAGAGACACCAGAGCTGGAGCTCTGCATGTGTCCCCACGTGTCACATGCATCACACACGTGCCACACAGGTCCCTAAACATGCTACATGCATGTCCCGTGTGTCCCCAGACATGCCACATGCATGTCATGTGTGTGTCCCCACCCCAAGGACCTGCAGGTGTGATGAGACCTCATCTCCTGGAGCTCAGAAACCCCCTCAGAGCTGGGGCTGTGTGTGTCCCTACATGTCACATGCATCACACGTGTCACCCATGTCCCCAAACATGCTACATGCGTGTCACACGTGTGTCCCCCACCTCACAGACCCGTACATATGACGAGACCTCACCTCCAGGTGCTCAGAAACCCCCCCAGAGCTGTGGCTGCCCCCCGTTCTCCACACGCGTGTCCCCTCCCCGTCCCCAAGGCGTCCCCCCGCGGGTGACACGCGTGTCACACGCGTGTCCCAGGCGTGTCCCCGTACCAGGTGGAGGCGGTAGGTGCGCTCGAACTTCATGTACTTGAGGCAGTACTCGCAGATCCAGAGCTTGGGCTGCTTCCCGTAGTCCTCGGGGAACGGGGAGAAGTACCAGGCGTCGATCTCAAAGTGCCCGATGTGGATCTTGTCCACGTACTTCACCTTCGTGATCTGGGGGGGACACGGGACACGCAACGGGGGCGTGGGGACACCCCCAGACCATTGGGACATCCCCAAACCCTCAAGGACTCCCCAGAACCCTTGGGGACACCGCCTAGAACCTCAGGAACATCTCAGCACCCTTGGGGACCCCTCTAGAACCTTGGGGACACCTCTAGAAGCTTGGGGATCCTCTGTAGACCCTCAGGAACCCCCCAAAACCC